AGGGTTGGCTTCGGAGTTCAAATTTGGGGTGTTGGGTTGTGGGATGTAACTTCACCTTCACCAGGCTGCGAAAAGCGTCTTGGATCCTCACAGCAGCCTGTCAGTCTCGAGTGTTCGACGGTAATGTGACTCGCACATTGCTCGCATTCAGGGCTTTGAAGCTTGGGGGCCTAGCTTTTCCCACGCCCCCCCCTTTCATTTCCGCACAGGAACGTCCTACGACTTTGCGTCTTCAATGGCTCCGCCAGCACTTTGCAAGGCCCTTACAGACTGAGGGTATGATTGTGACCTGCATTTGGTCTTGCAAAAGTTGGTGCTCCGTGACAGAAGATTCTCCGTCAAGCCTGAATGATCCTACGAGAGGAAAATTGCAATAGTCCCTAATCCAAGAATCTCAACTGCTACAAACCCCTGTCACGTGACTGCAAAAAACAATCGAAACATGCGTAGGCCCAAACTTAAAGTTGTGGCAAATATTGAGCCCTTCCTTGAGTTTTTCGTAGGCGAAGAGGAAAAGAATGGACATCAAGTACATTTGCCGGGAACCCTACGAACAATGCTGCAAAAAAGAGCCTCCGTCATAAAACATGTTGCAGACGCATCCCCAAATCATATAATTGACTCTGGACTACTGCACGCAGAAGAGCAAACCTTGCACGCCCGAATTCGAAAATGGCCGGGAAAGCCCAGCAAACCATGCACGTTGAATGCCAAGCCACCCGTAAGCGTGCCAACCGTGCCACCCGTAAGCGTGCCAAGTGGGCTCCTGGGCAGTCGGGGGCTGAATGTTGAGGGTTGAGAGTTTAGGGCTTCATTGTCTCATTCTGCGCGGCCCTAAACCCCTAAAGCTTCAACCCTCACCCTCAAACCCCTGAGAGCGGCTGAATGCTCGCCACGCTGCGGAATGCAGACTGGATCCGCAGGGCCGCCTGTCAATCTCGAGTGTTCGATGGTAGCGTCAGAAGTTTTGAGCTAGCTTGGCTCGTGCATTGTTCGCAGTCAGGGCTTTGAAGGTTTGGGGCCCGGCTTTTCCCACGCGGCTCGCCCTTCTCGTTTCAACATTGGGGCGCCCTACGACTTTGCCCTGCCCCACTGCCCTGTCGGGTCTTCAATGGCTCCGCCAGCACTTTGCAAGGCGCCCCTGGCGCGTGACTGCAAGAAACAATAGAAACATGCGCGAGAAAATGCAAAAGAAAACAGAGGAAAGAAAAGGGCCTCCATCATAAAACATGTTGCAGACGCATCCCCAAATCAGAACTGACTCCGGACTACTGCACGCAGAAGAGCAAACCTTGCACACCCGAATGCGAAACTGGCCGGAAAAGCCAGGAAAGCCTCCTCAAGTCCCCAGGGAAAGTCCTTGAGCAAACCCTGCATCCCTAACCTGCTCCATGAGCGGGAGCAGCTAACAAAAAGCAGGCTTGGGCCGAAACTCTTGCTGTGGGCTGCTTACTTACGTCAATGATCTCTGACCCGCAACTGGCTTTAGGGATTAAAGCGGGTCTTAGCCTGTAGGGATCTGTTGAGCGTGTTGAGCCTGTTGAGCCTGTCGAGGGCAAGCTTCGGCATGTAGTGACGTGGCGTATGAGGTTCTCCGACCATGTGTCTTCACACGCTTGTCGTGTTGTTGCCGATGGATTGGTCTATGATGCGCCCCTAGCTTTCGTGCCAGTTTTTACGCAGCTGGTGGCGCTTGGTTAGTAGGTTAAGGGACAGGGAGACAGCTTTTCGTACATCTCTTGTGGCAGATTGCTGCACAGGCAGCTAAAGCTTCCTGAGTGCTACACTGCACCTATGCAAGACCGATTGGAAATGGGAAACGGGTTTAAGCTTCCGCCTGCTGACGCTCTTTTTGGTCTGAAAGGCACCACGCTCACCCAAGCCACTACACCGGAGGGCAGTCGCCTCAGCGTCACGTGACGCCCAAGCCCTACACCCCAAAGCCGAAGCTGGAAAACCGCTTGTGATCTGGGTCTGCAAAAACACATCTGCACAAATCCTCGGCACCCTTAAGCCTTCAGGCTTTCAAGGATTCGGTGCGAAAGCAGAGTGGGGGCTTTGCGGGTGAAGTGGGTTGCTCTTAAGGAACCCTCAAGGAGCACAAAGTGACGCACGTATTCAGCCTAGAATGACAAATAAGCCTGTCTCGGCTCTGAGGGCAAGAGGTTGTAGGCTAGCAACAGCCCAGCGAAGCTTGATGAACTCGACTCCCTTCAAGCTTCAATGTTCCCGTCAGGCTGTGGAGCACGTCTTAAGCCTCTCATCTCAGGGCCTTAACCCTCAAACCCTCAAACCCTAAAGCCCAAACTGAACCTTGCAGCCTTAAGTGCCAGCCACCCCTCAGGCTGTAGCCCAGCCTCTCATTGTCCAAGCGACAGCCACACAACGCGCAGTTGGCAGCGTCGCAGATGCCACCCTCACCGCCAGCCAGCAGACCTTTGGTTTTGGGTTTTGGGTTGTGGGTTTGGGGTTTGGGGCTTGGGGTTTTGGTGGCGGGTTTAGGGTCTGGAATGGTCTGGATTTTGGGGGTTTATGATTTCGGGTGCATTTCAAGGTCAATGGTTCAGGGAGGTTGTGGTGCAGGAGAACAACGAATCTGGAAACCCCCCTCCGCCCGTAGCAGAAACGTCTGAACACTTCGGCCTCACCCTTAACAAGAGTGATTTAGCTCCCCCACACCGGCCCCAAACCCCCGAACCCAAAATCCAAATTTCTCAAAGCCCTCAGATCCCTAAGCCCTTGGACCTTTAAACCTCAAAGCAACTGTAACTGCCGTGCACGGATCAAGGAATCAGCAACGTCCTGGCCTGATCCTCGGGTTTCACTCATGAACACCATCACCCCGCGCTTCGCAAACACACGAACGGGCACGACATTCCCCAGAAGCAATTCGCAAACCGGCTGCTCGGGCGCTCTTAGGCCAAGAGGTGTAGGCAGTTAGAGTGCGCCAGCCCTCCCCCGAACGATCTTCAATGGCAGCAAGGGCCTGCTCCCGCGCCACGAAGCTGCAGGACCGGGACCAGACCAAAACCAGGGACCACACGGACCCTTTTGCCAGAACCCGCGCATCAAGCGAGCCAAGGACAAGCAAAATCAAGAAGGCTGTGTGCTTGCCCGCAGGTGAGGCCGAGACCGGAAATTCCCCGCAAATCCGAAACCGAACAACCTTGAAACCCACAACCACAATCTGCTGCGCTTACGTGAAATGAAACTGCCCGGCGGCACTTGGCTGCTGCATGTAGCTTCATCCCGTCCACAAAGTCCTGGGACAGATGCAGCACCTGGGCAAGCACCCCATCCACTACATCTTTAGGCCTCGAGGCTCTCCAAAAGGCCTCATGGCTATCCACGAGCGAACCCAATGTAGGGCAACCTATCAGAAGAACCTTCCTGCTGAGCTCGGAGGATGGCTTGATCAGGGCTTGAGAAGGGCTTCACGGTCTTGCATCAGCCTAACCATGCTCTGATGCAAGGACATGTCTTACAGCAAGCTCAGCAAGACTGAATCCCAAACCCCAAACTTGGAGTCTCCCCACTTTGGCACGCGAACTTAAACCTCAAAACCCCAAAACCCTAAACCCGCCCTAAACCCCAAACCCCAAGTGCAACAGGAACCCAGCCCCAGGCCTCACGACCAGTAGTTTACGGTTTTGGGGTTTTGGGGTTCTGGGCTTGGGGCTTGGGGCGTGGGGCTGGAATTGTGCACAGTGGGGCATTAGGGCTTAAGGATGTGTTAAAGTTTGCCTCGGATTTCTGCACTCCAGAAGTGCACCACAGGAGGGACTAGCAAACCCCCAATCCTGAATCTTGAGACATCCTTAAGCCCTAAACCCCTGCATCCCCAATCTGTGGAATGCTAAAGTCCTGAACCCCTAAGCCGCTTACTTAAGCGCTAGATCCTTCAACCTAGCCACCCCTTCAACCCTAGAGCGCATGCTCCCAATATCCTAGGCACCTGTAGCATGTAGGGCTTAGGGTTTAGGACTGTGCTGTGACACTGTGAAGCGCAGAAGTTGCGAAAGAGAGTGGACATGGGCATTCCCAAAACCCCTTGAATTCCCCAAAATGCCATAGTCCTTATTGGAGGAACCACAATAAAAAAGGTTCCCCAATTTTCGGAAACTCCCAAATTAGTTTCGAAGGCTTCGAAAGGGCGGCGACGTTTTGGGTGTTGAGGCGTTTTTGGTTTGCGGGCGTTGGGGCTTAGAATTTCGGTGTTGAGTAGTTTCGGGTCCTCCCAAACAACCCGTTTTGATCGGGGCTGGCGCCGGCTCTTGCGATGCCCAGAGTGCGTTGATCTCTTCCGCGTCTTTCGCGGACTCCTGAATCTCTGAACCGACACTGCTCTACTCAGGTTTTTGGGTTTGGGGTTTAGGGCTCAGGGTCCCTGAAAGCTAAGCCCGAAAAGACCCCGAAGGCCACAACAAAACCTGAAACCCTCCAGGCTTAGGGTTTACCTAGACTTCTAAACCCAAGAATCCCTAAACCCTAAATCTCAAACCCTGAACCCTGAAGCCCTAAGCACCCAAACAAGTCTTAGACGACTGGAGGCCTGGCATCTGCAAGGCCGAGGGTTGAGTATTTAACCCCTATATAATCCCTATCTACATAAGTAGCCCCAACACAACCTCAAAATAACCCTTATAAGGGACCCTTGTTTAGTCCCTTGAGTATGATGTTCGGAGCACTTCCACAGCATAACCAGCAGCGCAAGTTCTGGTTTGGGCGCGGTTTAAAGTTTTCGGGTTTAGGGGTTCTTTTCTTCATCATACCAGATACTGGTAATCACGCATCGTTTACAAAGAATCCTCAACTTTGGGCCATCTTTGAGGTAACCACGCTAGGCCTTCAAGGCCCTAAGGGCGGTTGGAACCCTAAATAGCCTAAGCCTTCGAATCTGAAACCCTTAGTTCCAAATCCCGCCAGCCAGAGGCTCCTCCATCAGGCCATTGAGGCTAATCTGATGATAGTTGGGAGCCAGGTCTCGCTCGAAGAGGAGTTTATCTTCGAGCCGTTGTGCGAGTGAAGCCTGCCATCAAATCTCAGGTTTCAAAGGCTTAAGGCTTTAAAGCCTTCGGGCTTAGGGGAAAGAACCAAGCATTTGTTCTGTGGTTGCTGGAAATGACGAGTGTGGGTCAATCTGGCTCAAAGCGTTGAGGTGGTAGGACTTAGGGCTTCAGGGTTTAGGTTTGTAGGCTCAAGGTTTAGAGTTTAGGGTTCAGGGCTTTCAAGCGCAGGGTTTGGGGTTTTAGGGCTTAATCGTTCAGACTCGTCGGACCAGGCGAGGACTTCCACATCCACAAACACAGCAGGGGCAGACATTGCGGTTTACGGGCTAGGGGCTTTAAGGTTTAGGGCTTTAGGGTCAAGGTTTAGGGCTTTGGGGTTTGGGGTTTAGGGCTCAAGGTTTAGGTTTAGGGCTTTGGCGTTTAAGATTTAGGACTTTTGGGCTCAAGGTTGAGGGTTTTGGGGTTTAGGGTTTAGAGTTTTGGGGTTAGGGTCTAGGCCTTCAGCACTTCAAGAGGTTTCATGTCTCCAATGTTTTCCAACAAAGAATGGTAGCCTTAAAAACTTACATCAAAAAAACGGCCGATGGCTACACTTTTGAAGAAGAACATTCGAGCTTGGTACAAAGCGTTGCTGATGTATTGTTTCACTTGATTTTTTTGTTGGCATTCATCAGTTCCAAGGGCATAAAAGTTGGATTGTTTTATCATTTACTGTCTAGTTTCATGACCACGCCATACATGAAAACGCTTTGCAAGAATCAACTGTCTTGCTTTGCAAGAATCAACTGTCTTACTGTTATTGTATCTACTGTTCAATCTTAAATATTTCTGACCTGATAATGTAGACTTGGTAAAAACAAAATAAAAACAATGCATGCACAAACTACACAGCAATATAAACACAACTTCTGTCTTTATCATAATATATTCATGATTTATGACATAACTTTGTTGACACAATGACTGACAATGGATAGAAACATGATGTCAAATAGATTGCACTATTATTTTCGGAACATGAAGTATCATCACCACAACAAAAGGGCTCAGAAGTTCACTGCGGCTTCAGGATGTTTCAGTCCCGGGCATAGGGTCGGTATAGGGGCGTTAGGGTTCAAGTTTTAGGATTCAGGGACTCTACAAGGTATGTATGCGTGTGTACATATATACATATTTATATTTTTTGGATACTAAAAAAAACATATATCTGTATACATATGGATATAGGGCCTAGGCCCGTGGCGTTCATGCTTAAGTTTGAGTCTGTCCTTCTCAGATGGGTTTGCCTCCAGTCAGGGTCATGGGGCCTAAGAGCGCACCTTCTATTTCTGCTTAGGGTCTAGGGTTTCCGGATGCATGCCATAAAGGCATTCAGCCCAGAGCTCCTCCGGAGTCTGCAAACCAAACCACACAAGAAAGGCCGGGAGGGGGAGGTTCCAGGAGTGCTTCTGCGACGCCCATGACGCACGCGCAAAGGGTCCCTTTTCGGCCTCGGCTCGGGGTCTGGATTCTAGAAAGTTCCCATAAGAAAAGTATAGTTTTCAACGTGTGTTTTTGACAGTGAGGGGCCCGCGACTGGGCCTGGGGCTCCAGCCCACCCAGCCCGTAGAGAAGCCAACTAATTCTCCTTAAACTTACAGGTCCTTTTTTGGGGGTGTGGCGCTGGCTTTTCTGCGACCTCATCAGGTGATGGACGGACTTGTATCTCCTACCCAGGGACATGACACAAGTCAAAACTTGATCAAAACCAACAGACACGAAGAAGCGCGCAAAGAACAATAAAATAGAAATAACGTTACAGGTGACGGAGTGCTATCTCCGACCCAGGAAGACAAACAAGAACACCTCAAAAACAGAGGCAAATTCTTGAAGAACCAGAAACGAAGAAGCACTCCAAGAAAAATGAAAACAAACTAGGTGCCGGAGTTTAAATCTCCATTTCAACTGCTGCGACAAAACAAAAACACCTCACAAACATAGGCACATGATTGTCGAAAGAAGCACGTAAGTAACAACGAAAGCGGAAATGACAGCAAAGCAGGCGACGAAGTTGCATCTCCTCAGGCATATGACAAAACAATAAGACCTCAAAAACAAAGGCAAACACTTGATCAAAAACAACGGAAGCGAAGAAGCAGACCAACAACAGCGAACGGAAATAACATTGGTGACAGAGTGTTATCTCCGACCGAAGAAGATGACAAAAGAACTCTCAACAGTGGCGGCGGTGCCCTGAAGATTGAAGTCGGGATCGACACCCGCACCATCTAATCAGTCCCTTCCCGCAGCTACGAGAAGGTCGCTAGACTTTGACTTGGAGCCTGCACAACACAAAATAATAAACAAGACGACCACGGGCCCTGCTTCCGGATCTGAGGCTTGTGACCAAAGCCACGCCGCACTCGCCAGGAAACAAACACAAACGCAGCGCCTGACCCCAAGACAACACACAAACTCACACAAACAGCACAAGGCATGCACTGCACGCTCGAACGCACACGTGTCAAAGGAGCGTGGGTTGAAGGTCCAAGTGACTCTTCAGTCACTGCCATCCGGCGAAGAAGGCGCTTTCATTGCTCTTTGCGTGCTTCTTACAGCCCTCAATCCTGAATGCCAGAGCCCTAATCCCTGCACCCTAAGCCCGCACCCCAAAGCCCTAGTCTCTGAGCCTAAAGCCCTAAACCTTAGAGCTGCCCCTGCTGTGTCTGTGGATATGGAAGTCCTCGCAGCGCGATGGCAGCCACGCTGAACTCCACAGCGTGTCCGATTCATCCTGGGCTCGGGCAAACGTGCGCAGCAAGGTTTCAATTCAATCGGACGCACAGCCCTGTGAACACAACCGCAGGATGCTGGCGGGGCGGGCTCTACTCTCCTCCACTTCAGGAGAAATTGTGAGCAGCCGTCGGAGGAGACCCTGAAGTCAGATTGGACTGGGGATGCTGGCGGTGTCTGGGCATGGCAGAAAAGTTGAAGGAACAAGGGAAGGCTGCCACGAATGGCTTTTGGGCTGTAAACCTCACAAGCCGGACCAGATCGGGGTTACGGGCTCAGGGTTTGAGGATTGAGGTAGTTTAGGGTTCAGGGTTTTGGGTTTAGGGTTTCGGGCTCAGGGTTTGAGATTGGGGGAATCCTAAGCTAAGCCCTTCTGCACCGGGCTTGGTTCAAATTCTTCTGAGGAACGGCGTACTTTGGTCTTCTTGCGGTTGCCCGGCTGCAGAGGGCTGGCGATGATGGGAGGTAGTTTTGTATTGAATATTATATGAAATTCATCTTCAAAGATGTGTTCCTCCAGTTTTCGCTATAGTATGAAATGAAATATTAAATAAATGGTATATTCTAAATGTAAAAATTCTGTGGCCTGAATTTAATCTTGCATTCAATTCTAGGTAAAATCTTTTGCAAGTCCAATATGTCATCTAGATGAAAGCAACAAATTTAAACGCCAACACTTTCTTTTCATTCATGTCATATTGGCGTCGATGGAGTACGTTATCACGGTATTCATCTTTGATGCCTATTCTAAAGATGACATCCTTTGCCTTAGGGTATTCGATTCAATATCTACAAAACTTAATGACTCCCTCAAGTGGGTGGGTTGAAACGTGTATGTTTCAAAACACTGCCAAAACATTTGATATTGAACTTGGGCAGACTTGAGTTTGATTTTAACACGATGAGAAGGATCAAGGTGAATGATTGATTTGAATTTCCCTTGGATTTGAACATGAAACCGTACACCAAAGAGTTTAGCACGTATCTGAGATATATACAGCGTGTACATCGTGACCGTGGGTTCCCACAATCTGGCTCCTGACAAAAACGGCAAAAGCTTGTTCGTGCTAGCTATCACGGAAATTCGTGCTCAATTGACCCAACTCGACAAATCATAACATATACAATACAATACCAATAAAATTTAGCACTATTTACATCACGAGACTCGAACACACAATCAACCGGCTTGATAAACTCATTCCTACTCAATATGGTACCCAAAATTCTGTAAATTCTCAATGAACCTAACTTATAACGGCTGCAAATCAGTCTGTTTCCATTTTTTCTCTCACAGAAAGATTCATGCGGGCGTACACCCCATCGGTCATGGCACCATTCTTGATCATCTCTTTGCACACACTAAGTTCTGGGCAATCTTGACCCATGGGCTGCTCGCCCCATTACATTTCTTACAATTTATCTCGGCAGATCATTTCGGCTCAGATCTTCGCAGCCAGCAGCCGAGCACCAGGACACAAACCCAAAGGCGGTAGGTCTGTCCAGGACAACATCTTCAAGAAGACGCTAGACCCCAAGCTCCGTACCGTTTGTTCCATCCCAGCGCACTGAGTTACTACTGAGTCACTGCTTGCCGGTCGCCAGATCGACTGTGGACGCTGCTCCACGGGCAGGCTGACAGGGCACACTAACCTCCTCGACTACGCGCGCTTCTCCCATGGCAAGCGAGTCCTGGAGGCAGAGCTTGCAGAGCAGCACCCAGCACAACACCCGTGCGGAAAACGCCACAAACACCATCAACAATAAATCTCCTCAATGCTTGCTCACGCCAGGATACGATGGGAAGCACCGCCTCCATCGACTGCTGAGGTGGTTCCGTGCATCGCCTGAACAAGGCCGAAGGCAGCGCAGCGCAGAGGCTGCGCGGCCTTCGCGGTACTTCCGGTAGTGGCTTGGCGCTCCTGCGTTTGGAACCTCAGCTCCAAGGAGAGTTGTTTCGCTGCACCCTTCACGTCAGTCATGGTTGCAGCATTTGCAGGTATGTGCTTCCTTCCGCGATCAAAGGCTTTCGATCAATCCAGCGCCAACATATGCCTCCGCAGCATTGGGTAGACTTTCACGCCTCGTCTTTTGTGACAGAGTCCGATGCTTTCCGCGCGTGTACGACTCCGGACAGCAGCACAGGGTGGCTTGAAAATGGCAAAACTCGCAGGAGGGTTTAGTGGCCCCAATAAGCGCCCCAAACGAGAGGTTATTCAAGGAATAGAATGTGTTTTGTCAAAACAAATGAAAGACAAAAGAAGGCCAGCTTCGCCGGCCCGGTTTTGCCGGCGATTCTTTTCATCCAGCCATATGAAAAGCAAAGAAGAACAAGTGTGGAGGGGGATCGGGGGCGGAACTTCCTTTAAAAAAAACCCAACATGCAAAAACCAGATTTTGAAAATTGTAGTCACAATAATAGTAGTAGCAATACCGAAAGCAGCAATAATAAGAATATATAAGAATAGTAGTAGTAAGGGGGAGGGGTGAAGAGGGCATAACCATTTATGATTTGCAGGGCATCATTTCCCATGAGTATACAATCTACGGAGCTAGCACATGACTTAACTACCTTTACACAATGATATTGGTTCTTCATAGTGGACAGTGTAGACAACTTCATTCATTTCAGTAATAGAACGGGGTCACTTATATGTAGCAAAAATCATAAGATCAAGTGGCCGATCACATTAGACGATACTGAAGGACAGCTACTGGGACAACCGATGCGCCAAATGAACTTCCGTGCTTGGGACGGAGACACTGAAAACCAAGCGTTGGTTGGAGTTCCCGTTTAAACCTGTTAAGTTGTTTAGAAAAGGCAGGTATTCTTCTTTGTAGACCTAAACGTATGAGTAACAATGAAACGCCGGGCTAATAGCAAAGAGACTTAATTAATACAGGTGACCTTCAAACATTCATGTTAAGCAAATCAGTTGAGGCATTTACAATCCTAAGCTGGGGAACTGGAAATCAAAGAGTACTAGTGTATACGTCCTCATCAAAGGAAAGAAAGTAGCCTTTGTGTTGGAGGCTATTTTTTTTGCTTTGTAGATCAACCCGCCAAAGCCGGAGGCCTGAGGCGTTTAGATCCAGGTCTAGGGAACGTGGGCCAGGCATACTGGGCGGATGTGAACCTGTCTGCTCTTTGGGTGCCTGTCATGTTGCCCTTTCCCACCCTTCCCCATACCCCCCCCCCCCCCCCCCCCCCGTCCTCTCACGCCTATTCACGCGAACCCTTCATTCGCCTCAGGTACCCTTGCCGAGGCGGCTTCGCGTTAGCGGATAAATTACATCGCGATGGTTGTGACAGTGAGAAGTGGGTTGTGGGCTGGTCGTGTATTTTCGGATACTCCTTCCAGGATTCCGGAAGAAAGGGGATTGTAGACATGCCATATGCTACATTCGTGTGTGTTTCGGTGAATATGTGGTCTCAAAGTGAGTTTCACGTCTGCTTGCTTCACATCATATTCTGTCGCATCACAACCCATGAAACGTCCCGAAGAGGTAGTTGGCATACATATGTGTATATATATATATGTATAAATATATAGATATTTATGTGTATATATATATATATGTAAATGTGCATACTCATATTACGGCTATGCTTCTATAACCTATATAAATAAGGCAAAGGGTGGCAGCGCAAGCAGCAGCAGCAGCAGCAACAATTAAGACAATTCTACCATTTAACACCTGTAATATAAAATCATGTATCTAATAGAACTTATATAACTCATATATTTTTATTAAAAAAATCTAGTATAGCTGTATAGCTAGTATAACTAGTATGACTAATGTAACTGATATAACTGTTATATCTGATAACCAATATAACTCATGTAACTAATCTAACTAATATGACAAATATGACGAGTATAGCTAACAAAACTTACTTAACTAATATAACAAATACAAAAAAACAGAATTAAGCTACTGAAGATAAGTAAAATAGTGATATTGTTACTCTTGTTGCTCTGATGGTTACGAGTCGTATAGGACACCCCCAACAAGGGTACCTCTATTGTAAGAAAACCCCATCTCAACCCGAAAGCCTCAACCCCCCTTGACTCTAGACATGTATGAACCCGGAACGTGTAGGGTGAGGGACTGAAACCTTGGCGATCCGGCAGTTGACTGGTGCAAGGCATCCGCGAAAAAATCGCCATGTGGATCTCCAAGCCTCCCCGAGGCTTTCGGATTCTCCCATGCGTGGGGACTAGCAGGAGCCTCGACGCTCTGTGCGCCTCCCTGTTCTGCGCAGGCAAGGGCTGCGACGCTGCTTCCTGTTGATTAGTGCTCGGGGATTCTGACCTTTCTGCGTCGTTCCGGGCTCTCTGAGACCAACCGATGCCGATGTCGAGGGCTCTACCGCAGCAGCTTAGGGATGTAGGGTGAAGTACCCGGCGATGTCCTCATCGTCACCAAGGGCCCTAAGCTGCACCCGGCTGAGGATGAATATACGGAATGAGACGCAGCCTTGTTTTGGGTTAAGGGTTTAGGGTTTAGGGTTTAGGGTTGAGGGTTGAGGGTTGAGGGTTGAGGGTTGAGGGTTGAGGGTTGAGGGTTGAGGGTTGAGGGTTGAGGGTTGAGGGTTGAGGGTTGAGGGTTGAGGGTTGAGGGTTGAGGGTTGAGGGTTGACGGACGGCTGCAGGACTAGGGCTCGGGCGCAGGTTTTAAGTTTTGGGAGCTTCAGGTCTAGCACTCTGCTGCAGCCACGTCAGCAATCCCTGAGCAATAACCATAGGCATTCAAGGACTAAGGGTTCAGGGGTTAGGGCTTTGGGGATTAGGGCTTAGCCGTAGACCGAGAACCCAAAAATCTGAGTTTATGATTTTGGGTTCGGTTTTTAGCTTGGGCTCAAGATGACTGCACCCACACCCTGCCCCAGACCCTGGACCCCAGACCCTGGACCCCAAACCCTAAATCCAACCACCGGGCTTTGGCGCGCCCATTTAAGAGTTCGGGTCTACCCGCAAAGCTCTTGGCCGGCGCCTGGGCGCTTGGCAAGAACCTCCAGAATTGGCACCTGGCAGTAAAGCTGGTTTGGTGTTCTTGGGTTTGGCCTGGGTTCTTGCTGAAGAGAAGGTCAAGGCTTCCTGTAGTACCTCACTATACCCAATAATTCCTAAGCGGACGGTGAACCCCTCGACCCTCAAGCCCAGACCCTAACACCAACTTTGGCGAGGCTTGGGCGCGGCACCGGGCCACCAGTGTTGCAAGCTCAGCTTCGGGGGGAAAGCTTGCAACGTGTTGGGCTGAAAGCGTTGGGAAGGGGGCCGTGGCTTTGGGGCTCAGGATTTCGGGTCCAGGGCTTTATCTGCCAAGATCATCTTGCCACTGGACAGAACTTCCCAGCAGCCGAATGGCCGATGACAATCCACTGCAAGAACCTGCACCGAAACCTGCAACACTTTCAGAGCCATCCATGAGTGAAAGACGCCGCCTCTCTTTCAAAAAGTGTTTGATCTCGCGGCTGGCAAATTCCGTTCTCCTGGGCGCACAGAGTGAGACACAGTTCATGAAAAAACTCTTCAGCCAAACACAATGCAACGGCTGAAGCACGTTGAGGCTAAAGCACTTTGAGGCTTTAGGTTGAAAAGTAGAGCATCGTAGAGCTCAAGAAGCAGGGTTTTTGAAGACGGGTTGCAGCTTTCGAGTTTAAGGCTTAAGGTTTCAGGCAGGGCTAATCATCGGTTTGCGAAAGGGGCTGTCTCGGCCTGACCCCCCAATGCCAGTTGAGTCTCGGGATCTACCTGAACAGACAACGCGCTTGGCTTTCTCGCGACCTTTCTTCCCTCTTTCTGCAGGAGCAGCGTGCCATAGCCGTCTTCATCCTGCAGCCGATCCCGAACCCTAGGCCCTAGACCCAACTTTGTTCGTTCCAAGGATTTAGGAGAAGAGGTAAGCCTCTGGCATCCTCTGGCAGTAAGCAACTTCGAGCCCAGGCCTCTAGCACTGTGCAGGTGGGCACCCGTTTTCCGTTTTGGGCGTAGGCTTAGGCTTTGGGGTGTCGGGCTTTATGGTTCAGAACCGTGCTTGAAACTTAGATAAACTGCTGAAAAATCTTTAGGGCTCGCGACGCCCCCTGGAGAGATTAGGGCATTCCACAACTGAGGCGGGTGCCAGGCACGATAAACCCGCAAGCGCAAGCGCGCGCAGTGGAGCCAGGGTCAAAAGGAAGCGCCGCGCGTTGGACAGGCGCAGTGTGATTCATACACGGAAGCGCAGCGCTACGCTCAGGCTTCTTGGGCCGAGCTTCTGCGGTTTTCACGCGTGCGTGTGTGCCGAGACATGACCTTAGAAAAATCCACCTGGCTTCCGTGCCAGTTTACGGAGCTGGTGGCGCTTGCTTAGTTTGTTGACTGAGGAGCAAGGGACAGGCAGACAGCTTCTCGGGCTCGTGATGTCGGCCCTGACTGGATACAAGTAGGGCGTGTACTCCTCTAACCAATTGGAAATGGGACATGGGCTTCAGCTTCCCGGCTGCTGACGCTCTTTTTGGTCTGACGGGCACCACGCTCACCCGAGCCACTACACCGGAGGGCAGTCGCCTCAGCGTCACGCGAAGCCCAAGCCCGAAACCTCAAAGCCTAAACTCGACCCTAAACCCTAAACCCTAAACCCCTAAACCCCTGAGAAGTTCTTGGAATCTGGGTTGAAGCCAAAACTGCATGGGTCAGGCTCGACACGGGTGCTGATTCTGCAACCTGCCAAGCTTTGGGGGGCCACTTCTGTTGTTGGCTCCGTGTAGTTTAGGGCCTGTGGGATTTAGGCTGATTTAGGGTTTTGGGGCTTGCTCTACTTTAGGGGGTTTTGGGTTTAGGGGCGGAATCTCCCCACGTCGAACCTCGCCAACATGGACCTGAGGCCCTGGAAAGGGCTCCACGCTTCCGCATAAACACATCTGCAGAAATCCTCGGCACCCCTAAGCCTGCTTAAGAGATACCCAAGACCAATCCTTCAGGTTTTCAAGGCTTGCGTGCGTTAAGCAGAGTGTGGGCTTGCGGGTGTTTTTCGGGTTGCTCTTAAGGAACCCTTAAATATTACAACATGACGTACGTAACAAGCCTACTATGACAAAGAATCGGGTCTCGGTTCTGAGGGCAAGTGATTGTAAGCTCCTCAGCAGCAACCCAGCGAAGCCTGATGAACTCGACAACCTGAACCCTCTCTTCAAGCCTCAATGTCCCCGACAGGCTGTGGAACACGTCTCAAGCCTTGCGGGCCTTAACCCTCAAACCCTCTCAAGCCCTCTCAAACCCTCTCAAACCCTCTCAAACCCTCTCAAGCCCTCTCAAACCCTCTCAAACCCTCTCAAAGTGCCAGCGAGCCACCCCTCAGGCTGTAGCCCAGCCTGTCATTGTCTAAGCGACAACCACGCAACGCGCAGTTGGCAACGTCGCAGACGCCACCCTCACCGCCAGCCAGCAGACCTTTTGTTTTGGATGTTGGGTTTGGGGCTTGGGGTTTGGGGTTTGGTGGTGGGTTTAGGGTCTGGAGTTTGGGGATTTATGGTTTCGGGTGCATTTCAAGGTCAAGGGTTCAGCGGGCTGTGGTGCAGGAGAACAACGAATCTGGAAACCCTTTGGTTGGAAGCAGAAACGTCTGAACACCTAAGCCTCAGCCTTACGAAGAATGATTTAATAAGCTCCCCCACACCGGCCCCAAAACCCCCGAACCCTAATTCCAAATTTCCCAAAACCCTCAGATCACTAAGCCCTTAGAACCTCAAAGCAACTGTAACTGCCCGTGCACGGATCAAGGAACTAGCAAGATCCTGGCCTGATCCTCGGGTTTCACTCCGTGAACACTATCACGCCCCGCGCACCGCAAACACACGAACGCTGTGAACATTGCGAACACCGCGAACACAGCAAACACCCAATAACACCAATAGCACCCGCGAACACCGCGAACGTCGCCAACACCGCGAACATCGCGAACAAGGCGAACACAGTGAACACCGGGAACAAACGAACGCAACGTTGCAAACGCCGCGAACAGTGCGAATGCCGGGAACCCCAGGCACGACGGTCGACACCGCGAACACCACCGAATGCCGCGAACGCCGCGAACACCGCGAACGCCGCGTGCTTGGGATTTCGGTTCAGGGTTCAGCGCAAACACCCTTACAAACCCTCAGAACCGTTTCCTGTCCGCTTGTCACGAAAGATCACGCAAGGGTAAGGTGGCTCAGGTACTGCAGCGGCACGCACAACAGGGTAGGCCCCCGAACCACATCGTGGCATCGGAAGAGGACAGCCGGCACCGAGCACAAGTCAAAAGGCCCCCACGAAGCAGTGGAGAGACCCGGCTGCCAGCAACTGTCACGGGATTGGGCACGACAGCCCCCACGACCCCCTTTAGAAGGAAAGCGCAAACCGGCTGCTCGGGTGCTCTTAGGCCAAGAGGTGTAGGCAGTGAGGGTGCGTCAGCCCTTCCTTGAGGGATCTTCAATGGCAGCAAGGGCCTACTCCCGCTCACGAGTTTCAGGACGCCACGCCCGGGACCGGGCCAAAAACCCCGCGCATCAAGCGAGCTAATGACAAGCAAAATCAAGAAGGCTGTGCAGTTGGAGCTGCGAGGAGCTGGAGTTTCCGGAGGCCGTCCGCGGACCGCAGCCCGCAGGTGAGCCGAAAGATCTCCGAGACCGGAAATTCCCCGCAGATCCCAAACCGAACAACCTTGAAACCCACAACCACAATCTGCTGCGCTTACGTGAAACTGCCCGGCGGCACTTGGCTGCTGCATGTAGTTTCATCCCGTCCACAAAGTCCTGGGACAGATGCAGCACCTGGGCAAGCACATATTTAGGCCTGGAGAGCCCCTCCAAAAAGGCTATCTGGGGACATCTTCGGCCCAGATTCTCATGGCTATCCCCCAAACCCTAAACCCTAAACCATAAACCTAAACCCTAAACCCTAAACCCTAAACCCTAAACCCTAAACTCCCTAAACCCAATGTAGGGGAACCTATCAGAAGAACCTTCCTGCTGCGCTCGGAGGATGGCTTGATCAGGGCTTGAGAGGGGCTTCACGGTCTCTCATCAGCCTAACATGCTCTCATGAGAGGACAGGTCTTACAGCAAGCCCAGCAAGACTGAATCCCAAACCCCAAACTTGGAGTCTCCCCAATTTGGCACTTGAACTTAAACCTTAACCCCCAAAACCCTACACCCTCCTAAACCCCAAACCCCAAACCCAGAGTGCAAAAGGCAGGAACCCAGTTCTAGGATTTGGGACTTATGCTTCTGAAGCACAGCTGCCGGTTTCGCGGTGTTGGGGTCTAGGGGCTTTGGGGTTTAGGGCTTGGGGCTCGGGGCTTCGGGCGTGGAGTCCTGAACCCTTAAGCCGCTTACTTGAGCGCTAAATCCTGCACCCTCGCCACCCCTTCAACCCCAGAGCACGTGCACCCAATATCCTAGTCACCTGTAGGATGTAGAGTTTAGAGCCTAGGACTTTGCAAAAGCGCAGAAGTGCAAACTAGTTTCGAAGGCTTCGAAAAGGGGGGGGGGGGGGGCCGACGTCTTGAGTGTAGAGGCGTTTTTGGTTTGGGGCCTTGAGTAGTTTAGGGTCCTCCCAAGCAGCCCGCAAAGATCGAGGCTGGCGCCGGCTCTTGCGATGCCCAAAGGTTGTCGATCTCTTCCGTGTCTTTCTTGGACTCCTGAATCTCTGAACAATGCTACTCAGACACTACTCTGCTCAGGTTTAGGGCCCCTGAGACCTAAGCCCCGAAGGCCACTTAAAAAGCCCTGAAACCCTCGAGGCTTAGGGGGTTCAGGGTGTAGGGTTCGGGGCCCTGAACTTCTTAAACCCCAAGAAACCCTGAACCCTAAAACCTAAACTCTAAGCCCTGGACCCTGAAGCCCAAAAAACCCAAACAAGTCTAAGACGACTCGCGGCTTGGCATCTGCCAGGCCACATAGGGTTGAGTATTTAACCCCTATACATACCTTATATAGTGCCTACATGCGTAAGTAGCCCCCACATAACCCCTAAGGTCCCTTATAAGGGTCCCTCCTCTAGTCCCTTGATTATGTTGCTCGGAGCACTTCCAGCAGCGCAATTCCTGGTTTGGGCGTGGTTTAGGATTTAGGGTTTAGGGTTTAGGGTTTAGGGTTTAGGGTTTAGGGTTTAGGGTTTAGGCTTTAGGGCTTCGGGGTTCTTGTCTTCATCACGGCAGATGCTGGAAAATAACGCATCACATACAAGGAAACCTCAGCTTTGGGCCATCTTCGAGGTGACCATGCAAGGCCTTCAAGGCCCCAAGGCCTTAGGGCTTAGGATGTTTGGAACCCCTAAATACCCTAAGCCTTCGAGTCTGAAACCCTCAAGTCCAAACCCTAAACCCTAAACCCTAAACCCTAAACCCTAAACCCTAAACCCTAAACCCTGAAGGGCTCCTCCATCAGGCCATTGAGGCTAATCTGATGATAGTTGGGAATGCTCTGCTCCAGACTTCGGCACGAGGCCGTTGAAACCTCCAGGGTTAGGGGTTGAAGGGTTCTGGGTTTTAGGGTTTAGGGGCGACTTGGCTAGCGAACACTAAAACCAACAACTCAGCGCACAAGATGTGTGGCGAATGAACGCTGGGATTAAGATGGGGGTTAAGAAGAAAGCTGGGCCTTCAGACGCACATGGGGGTTTACGAGAATAAGGACCTCTAATATAAACCCCCAAACAGCAGGATCCCCTTATAACAAGGACCCATAAGGTATCACTATTTTCCCCGCATGTGGCGGTTACCACCCCTACATGGTCAGCTGCTGTTCCATGCCTATTTTAGCCTCCTGGCCACTTTGCACTCCAAGACCATTGAAGCCCTTGCGCGAAAAACGAGCGGCAACCCTTCAGGTAGCTACAAAATCGGAGGTCTCGGCTGGGTCGGACTCAGATTCTGCTCAACTTACATGCCAAACATGGGCCAGCAGGTCCAAACCCCCAGGTGGATCAGCCCTGTAACCCTCAGGGCTCAGAAGTTAAGAGGGAGAATGAAATGCATAGCGGACCCTCGTGTCATGAGTTCCACTGTCCTTCTTTCGCCCACAGGGCTCGGTCGCTTTCTTCGAAGCGGGTCCACCCCGCGCAGCATGGTCTGCAGTAGACAAAACGTGAGTACTCCCACGTCTGCGCGGTCTACAGGTCCATAGCGGTTGTCTGTCGAGGTCAGGGAAGTGTATGCCAGCCACCCCCCCCCTGGCCACACATTTCTGGAATCCCGAAAGCTCGCTATTCGGGACTGGGGATATGTCCTGGGTGCCGAAATATGCTGAAAACTAAAGCTTCCCTAAGTCCAGCAAGTATGTCCTGGATCTGAAATCTAAGCCTTCCCATGTCTGCGCCGTCTTCATGGGCCCATAGCGGTGTGTCGGACCCAGGGCAGGTTCCTCCCCTTGCAATGAACCGGGGGGGCTGACTATTCAAGCCCCGAGATAAGTCCTGGAGCTGACATGTGCTCCTAAACCCTAAACCCTAAACCCTAAACCCTAAGCCCTAAACCCTAAGATGCAGGGCTATGTCCTGGATCTGGCTTCCCAGATCTGCCCCCATCCTGGGTTCTGGCGGCGGTCTGTCGGGTGTATGGCGGACCCCACCGCCTCCATACATTTTTAAACTTGGCTGCACTTAGCAGGGTAGCTAAAAATTAAACTTTTAGCTGCCTTAATAAGAAACCCAATAAACCCAAAAAAGGTAAGGATCTAAAGTTACAGTAAAGCACCACAAAGTAAAAAACTGGGGTAGCTCCCCCTGACGCCTTTGCACCCAAGAGAGTGGCCGGCAATAGCCGAAATATGCAGATGGTGGAGGAATGAAGAAATCGAGTCTTGCCCCCCCTCCCCGCTAAGCATTCTTTCTCCTGGGACTCCCTGACTGGCCCCAAAGTACACCCCTCCCCCCCTCCGAAAAACATTATCTCGGCGTGGGGATGGTTTCAGGGTTCAGGATTCAGGATTTAAAGCTTCAGGGCTTCGGGGCTTCGTGGGCTGTAGGGCTTTGGGGGTTTCGGGGGTCTCTGAGCTCCTCTATCCGGCACCTCAGTGAGGTAGGTGTAGTTGTTGACGGCCGCTTTCCGGTCCAGGTCGTACCAGCCCAAAATCCAGCAGTAGGCATCGTCCAGGGGATATGACCAGTCGACGATGTTGTGAAGGCTGCGCCCATCGGGCAGCCTCCGCTAAACCGTAAACCCTAAACCCTAAACCCTACAACCCTACATTTAGCCGGGGGCGCCAAGCTTTGTTTTGAAGGGTTCATGGGAGGCGCACAGAACTATGCATGGCTGTAACCGTTACAACCCTATTTAGAACACTTACAGCCCTACTTAGTGGTACATATGCCCTAAAGCCTAGTTACAACCACCTGCGAACCTCTACAACCTCCAAGCAGGAAGCTTTTGAGGGTCTTGGGTGACAAGGTTGGGTTCACGAAACCCTGAACGCTACACTTTAAACCCGTTGTGGGCTTCGGATTGAGGCAACAAGAGATTTGGGAAGCCACCAGCCTGAGCGTCTTTGACATGTTGGACTGCGGTATGTACAACTTGTAAAACTCGTTGAAGAACTCGGCGAAGCTCCGCGGGTCAGCCTGGAAACCGTGACAAGCGGCTGCGGACCACATTTGGAAGCTTTTGGACTTCAATCTCGAGTGAAAGACCATGTGAGCCCAGAAGCCCCAAAAGCGAAAACAATTTCGCATTGCGCGAACCCAACCGTCCAAAAGCGATGACCCGTTAGGCATTTCGCGCACCCAGCTGCTCAAAAGCGACGACGGTTTCGAGGACGGCGAGCGCGGACACGCCCGCCCTTGGGCGAGAGCGCGATTCTCGTCCAAATTTGTGGAGAAGGCCTCGGGAAAAGCCCATCGACCTGGCCCCTCGTACCCTTGACGTTAGAACCCCTTAGTGTTGACACGCTGTGAAGGAGCCAAAAAAACACCAGAACAGACACCATAAACGGTAAACATGGCAAAAAGTCCAGAAGCTGCAAAACACCAATTAAAGCACACAAACCGAAACACACAAACACACACAGACACACAGAGACAGACAGAGAGACAGATAGAGTCTCTTTAACAATGAAACCCCAAAAAGGCTGAAATCTGAACCTGGCCTTTCGTCGGCTGACTGCACAGTTGCTGGTCCATTCGCCAAGGCCGCCATAGACACACCAGCCGTCCTCACCTGTCAAAGATTGGGGGTGTAACCCTAAACCCTAAACCCTAAACCCTAAACCCTAAACCCTAAACCTTCAACCCTCAACCCTAAACCCCAGGCTCCGGCGTTTTGTGGCAGGGCTTCATTCGTGTTCAAGGGCCCAGGCTCTCAGGCGTTAGGAATTGAAGGCGCCGGGGTTGGAGTTTAGAGCCCTCCTTTTGTGTCATTGTTATCATTTCAGAATGTCATGGGGCCCCACGAATTTTATTGCTACTATCAATATTGAAGCTATTCTTAATTAGCATTTCCCAGCATAGGGTCCCTCAAATACACCCAAAAACACGGGCCCTTACCGTACGAAACCCCAAGCTGCGTACACCGATTTTCGGAAACCGCATATCAACCCAAAACCCCTAACCCTCCACTTTGGGGGGGATCAATTTCCAAGACCCTTGATCAACAGCAGCAAAACGCAGCGCGCTCCGATTGAGGAGTTCGGGTGCAAGACTATGGCCAGGTGCCTGGGTGCTTGGCAAGAACCTCCGAAATTGGTACCTGGCGGTGCGTTAGCAGTTCACATCAAAAGCGTAGGAATGCTTTCCAAACCCCATCATGCGAGCATCGTGTATAAGTCCCCCCGTGCAAGCTTGCTTGAAAGCAGTGATTTCATGCGAAAACTATTGGGGGTCTTCAAAACATATGACTTCTGTCCAACTGCGAGCATTGTGTGTGCAAAGGGGCTGCCCCCCCCTCCCCACCACCCCGCTCTTTCAAGCCGAGCAAAGCTTGAATCTTTCGAGTACAAGAGACAAGAGATGCAGATATGGAGGCGAGCATACCAGCCCTCGAGGTTTAACGCCTTCCGACGCGTTTGGTGTCAGAGGGTGAAGCTTCAATCGTGTTCCGCAAACATACCAAAACTCAATCTTGAGATTTCGCGTCTCGAGTGTGAGACGCCCGTCGATCGTGCTCGCCCCCCCAAAATAGGAAGGTCAAATTGTCGAACCCTCGCCCGCTTAAAGCCCAGATAAGTCCCGAAAAGCCCTATTCCTTCAAACGCTATAAAATCATTGTTAAGTGAATGCCTTATGAGGGCCCTTTGCACCACAACTGTCAACGGGGATCAGGGGGATGAGGGTTCGGGTGTTTGAGGGCCTTGAAATGTACCCAGAGACTCCAAAACCCCTTAATTAAGGAATATACTTTAAATCATAGTAGGGTTCCTACTATAATTTAAGGTATATTGCTTAGTTAAGGGGTTTTGGAGTCTCTGGGTAGGGATGCGGGCTGCTGGTTTCTTGCCACTTCACACTTGACGCTTGCCACTTTGCACTTACACCTTGCACTAGATACTTTACGCATTGAATCAGTACATTAGCTGGTTTTGGGTTGACCCGACAGAATACAGCGGCCTATTGAATATTATTTAAATTTGAATTGGTAGTAGAGCAGCTTCCCACATGCCTATGCAAGGAGGATGTGCGGAAAATGGAACATATTGGCCCTACATAGACCCTCTGGGACTGAAACGTAACATCGTAAACTCCTCAACTGTGGTCGCTGCGCGGGACACGAGACGCGAGACGCGAGACGCGAGACGCGAGACGCGAGACGCGAGACGCGAGACGCGAGACGCGAGACGCGAGACGCGAGACGCGAGACGCGAGACGCGCGGCTCGGGGCGCGGGACGCGGGGTGCGGGAAAGGACGCAGGGACGCGGGGCTGAGAGCGTTGGAGAGGGAAGGGAGCTGTAGCTTTGGGGTTCAAGGCTCGATTCAGTATCTGCCAAGATCATCCTGCCAGCTTCATGGGGCGGGACTTCGCTGCTTCATGAACGGTGACAATCATCTGAAAACACCTGCACCGAAACCTGCAACACTGTGAGCCAGTCGTGAGTAAAAAAAGTGCACAGATGCGGCCTCCGCTTCACGCGCTGTTTCAGTACCCGACTGGCAGATTCCATTCTCCTGAGAGCACGAAAGAAGGCGAAGTCCCGAAACCCCAAAACACTCGGAGGCTTTGGGTTTAGACTGAGACTTGGAGATTACAAGTTGGTCTGAAGGCCCGTTGCGGCTGAGGCGGTGTAGGCCTTACGCTTTAGGAATTAATCAGGGTTTCAGAGTTTGAGGCGGTCTCGGGCTGCCCCCCCTCAATGCCAGCTGAGTCTCGGGATCTACCTGAACAGCCAATGCGCTTGACGTTCTGGCGACCTTTCTTCCCTCTTTCTGCAGGAGCAGCGTGCCGTAGCCGTCTTCATCCTGCAGCCGATCCCAAGACAGGGATTTCGCGGAAGAGGTAAACCTCTAGCAGTAAGATACTTCGGGGCCAGGCCTCAGGCATTTCAGGCTGAGGCTTCAGGGTGTCGGGCTTTATGGTTTCGAACCTTGCTTGAAGCATGGATAAACCGCTCAAATCCTTAGGGGCTTGGAGCATTCCACAACTAAGGCCGGTGCCAGGCACGATGGAGCTGCAAGTGCAAGTGCACGCAGGGCCAGGGTCAAAAGAAGCACAGTGCGTGTGGCCACATGCGCCATGGCTCACGAATGGAAGCACGGCGAAGGTCTACGCTCGTGCTGCAAACAGGCAGCGGCGCAATCCGTGCAAGTACATGCAGGCCTCAAAGTTCAGCATTTTGGCTCAAAGCTTCTGGCTGCAACCTACATTTCAGAAGTGAAGCGCGAGGAACGCAACTTCGTGGAAAAACAGCTCTGATGTTCTAGCGCTTGCGTCCCAGCTCCCTTATGACTTTATTTTGTCTGCCCAGCCTTTCCAAAGCACATACATAGACAATGATCCAAGTATTTGTTCCAAAAGCCTAGACATGACTGCTCAAGTGTCAAAACAGTTCATTCTTGAGTCCAGCAACTTGGGCGTAGTTCGTTGCAGAAAGAGGCTTGCTATCACAAGAAGAAGAATGCGCACATGTCGGCACATACTCAAGGAGGCACGCCAACCGACTTATGAGGAAGACGCGACAAGAAAACACCTGTCTGCTACGCCGACCCACCTACGAGGAAGACGTAGCCAGCAAACAAATATACGAGCACCGGACCCCAACAAGCACACGTCCCTACTTCCGGGCAATGCGAAGGCGGCTAGCAAAAGAACATTTGACATGATCGCATATTCAAGTCTAGACCTCCAATTTGGACGGTTGAGGCTTTAGGGTTTAGGGGTTCAGGGTCAGCTGCGACACGAACCTATTGATTCTGATCGCGCCTTCTCAAGTGCAACTTTGCACACTCAGGGGAAGGATAAGCTTAAGCTTCGCCACTCAACAAGAAATGACCGAGATCAGCTTCATCTTGGGGTTGCCAGACGCTCCTACTTGGAAGTTCTCGATCCGCATCGTGAGAGTGGAGTTCGGCCTCACATCAAAGGCGATCTCCCGGCCTCCGCCCTCGCCGCCGCCCTGCGAGACCTTCCCTCCAGCTTTCGCGAAGATCGTGTCCGACTGGGAATACCTTGACCCATCCTCCCAGAGGCCCAGGATCAACATCCAGGTGCCGTTCAAGGTCACCTTGGCCATGCCCAACTTCTCGTAGCTCCTGAGGTAGGTCAGGCTGAAGGAGGGCCTTGCCCCAAAGCAGAGGGGGATCTCCATCACCGAGCCGGGCACCGTAGAGATCCAGCCCGGCTTGTCGGGCCGGTCTTCAACCAGCTGCCAGTCCCCCTGGATTCTTGGCTGGACCGCAGAGCTGAGCCCGGTCTTCACCGCGGAGAAGACCGCGCAAGGCTTTGTACACGCCCCGAACCTCTCGCGCCTCTCGGCTGTGTGGAAGAATTCGGTGAAGTCTTGCTTGACTTGTGTAAGGTCGTTCTGGTCCAGTTCCAGGTCCATCATCCGGTCCCACACCGAGCTCCAACTCAGGGCTAAGAGGTCAGCAACGGCCTGATGTGATTCGAAGAACGGATGATTGGGGTCCTTTTCGAGAATCGCCCATAGCCCTGGCTGCTGCTGCACCAGCTTCACCATATCCAGGTGCGGAACCCTGTAGAAGTCCAAGATCTGCTTGTGAGACACCAGGGATCGATTGCATTTTGGGCATCCCGCCTCCACGGTGAAGATCAAGCTGCTTGGAGCCATGTCATGCAGAGTTCGAAGAAGCATCTCATAGGCCGCCGAGCGAGTGGCTTCAAAGTCGATTCTGTCGATGTTGTTGCCGAACTTCCGGTCGAAGACATCGTCACCTATGTCGTTTATGAGCGTTTCCACTAGGACCAGGTCCACGCCACTGAAGTTGAAGAGACCCAGACTCGCCAGGACTGCACCGGAAGGTGTGCCGCCGAGAGCCTTGTTCTCCAAATGCACAGTCGATCGTGGAAAAGCCACCTGCAGCCAGCGCACAAAACGCGCGGGCCATGCGCAGAGCTTGCGCGACAGATTCGTTTCTGCAGGCTGCAGACAGTTTACGCCGGCAGTAAAGGAACCCCCGAAGACCATGATCTTAACGTTGCCCCCGTGCGCCAGCTTCCAGATCAAAGGCATCATCACGCTCCAGTTGCCTTCGGGCAGTAGGCCAGTAAACTTGGACACGCTGCAGAATGGACGCCCGCGCGTGAGGGTGTAGATGCCATGATCAAAGTTCGGCGGCACCGGAAGGCGATGGACATACCTGACGTGCTGCTTCTCGGTTCTCAGAACTGAGTTCACGGAGCTCACTGAGCTCCATGCATTGCCCTGGCATCGAAGAACGATGAGCAGGGCCGCGAAGCCTACTGCAACGGCAACTCCGCGAGATCCGCCCTGAGGACATGGCTTCATAGGCCGATGGAGCCGGCAACAGCAACTACCTGGAGGCTCGGGGGTTGATCTAAAGGTCCTTGTTGGGAGATGCTTTAAGGATCCTATGGGTTCATAGGGAGAATATAAGGTGATTTAGGGAGAATCCGACCAGCCACCAAGGCCTCGCAGTTAACCCCTAAACCCCATCGTTTCGGGATTAGGGTTTAGGGCTTGGGGTTGAAGACCCCTAAACACCTAAACCCCTAGAGCCTAAAACCCTTAACCCCTGAATCCCTAGTGCGTCTTGGGGAGGACGAAATTTGTGTTGGAAATTTGTGTTGGTGGTTGTGTTGACTTGGATTCCTGGTTTCACTTGATTGCATTGTTTTTTTAACCTTTCGGCGCAAACGTCGTCCGAGGGGTTTCGGCGTCATAGGTGACTGCTTGAACTACCTGAAAAAGGAATTGAAGCCCAGCCAATCGTAAACCCAAAACCCCAAACCTTAAACCCCGGTTCCAGGGAGATAGTGTTTGGGGATTGAACATGGGCATCTTCCTGGAAGTTGCTACAGAAGGTGCAGTGCAAACTATGCATAAATAGAGAAAGCAAAGGCGTATTGTTTTGACTTTCATGCAGTAACACGGCAGCATCCCCTTTCAGAACAGCTGTAAGGTGTGAAAAGTGAACAACTTGTTCGGACTGCAAACGACTGGGCAACAAGCCAAGAAAAAAGAGCATCTTCCAATCTAAGCTGGAATGCTTGCGATCGCCGAGGCAAGCCGGCTTTCTTGGCCGAGCCCATGATTCACAACCGCCTTTCCGAGAGCGAAAGTCGGGCTGCGGGCAGGAGAAGTCGTCGTACCACATGAACAGCCGGCTGTTCTTGCAGAAACCTTTGCATCGAGGCACTCCACCACGCGGTACCAGAAACTCCGTGTTCAGGTCTCTGACACATACTCGAAGGCATCCTGCAGAACCCTTAGCTGCTGCTTACTCTCTGGATCCGGATGCTTGTCTCCGGACACGCTGGTGCGACACAAAGGCCACTTTTCCAGGGTCCTCTTCGAACTCGACCAAACTCCCCTGTCCTTTCAGCACTCCATGTGGCTGAGCAAGGAGACCTGCGCCGACATCTCCTCTGCGAGGGATGCAGCGGCGTGTCGGCTTGGCTAGCACCACAGATGGGCATGTCAAGCTGTTCAAGTTCCGATGGCTCGGAGCTCCGCTCCAAGAAGACGATGGACACATCCTGGCACCCGCTACCTGCAGGAATGCTGTCTTTTGGGCCTGAAGCACATGGAGGTTAAACAGTTCCAGTAGGGATAAGAAGGCGGGGCCTACTTCAGGCAAGCAACGCACGTAGCACAAATTTATGACACCACATGATGTGACGAGATGTGACACAACATGATGCGTCATAGCACAACATGAGATGGCTTGGCGTGACGTAACATAGCATATCAGGCGGAATACACCATAGTGTCGAACATACGGTAGGTAATTCTAACTTAATGTTCTGCAATGCAATGCCATGCCATGCCATGCAATGCAGTGCTATGCAACACCATGCAATGGGATGCGATGAAATGTAGTACAACGCATGCGATATAATGCAGCCTCATGACAAGCAGCATAAGGTGCAGTGCAGAGTGATGCAGTGTATGCTAAGTTGGCTACGACATGCCAGAATTCGCAGCGACCAAAACATATTCATCACTTCCCATCAAAGGTTCATCAACTAGGCGATCTGATGGATAGCAGAAGCATGCAAAACCTCAAGCTACCCGCCATACTTATTAATGTCATGTCTTTTCTAGCGACGGAGCGCCTCATGTCGCTCAGGTCAGGTCATGTGCGGAGACGGAGCTCCTGACTTTGTGGTCTCATGGGCAGCCGGGCGAAGCTGTCTTAGAGCCTATGCACAAAGCTGCAGGCGAAGGACCAAGAAGCGAGTGAGCCGAAGCTCGTCTTTGTCGCTCGTGCACTGGCCTCAGACGATCTGAGTCAGCATGCATCCTGCACAAGAGTTCCAGCTCGGAGCGCGGTCTCCCAATGCTGGATTTGCTTGCATTGGCTTGCTACCGACCGGGATTCCCAAGACACAGCAGGGAGGGGTATCTTCCTCTAGGTACCTGCATGACAGAACAGGCGTGCTTCTGGTTCGCTTCAAGGAGGGCGGGTGGAATGGCTTGTTTAGATTAGGCCGCTCCCTGCAGCCAAGCCATTTTTGCCATCTTTATCAGGAGCTCCTCGCAATGCACCGGGCGAATGCAAGGTAGGTCCATACTTCGAGACTCTTCGAGAGAATGCACACTCTATGGTCCCACCCGCCGGGGATTTTCAAACCCTCAAGGCATAGGGATATGCCATTGAAGCCACTGCCAGAGCCCGACGCGCCCTCGGCTCGGCGCGGGATCCGACCCGGGGGCTCCGCCTGGACTTACCTCACCTGGAGCTTGAGAGCTCCGAGAAGCGCGTCAAGCCTCTATCTTCGAAGAACCTCGGGATATGCAAGGGACCGAAGTTCCGTTGGCCAAACCACAGAGGGTCAGTCGGCTGCAGGGTCCATGCGGAGGTGCCGGAGCTTTGTAGCCGTGCGGCTCGCGTGCGGCCCTATAGCTTGCCTGTGCAAATTGCCTTCACAAGGTCTTGCTTCGAGGGGTCACAGCCATCATTCTTAAAGCACTCCATCTGAACGCCACTGGGGCACAGCCCAGGCTTGTCAGAGAGCTCCCTTGCTTCCAAGCAAGCCAGACTCCTCAGCCAGCTGAGCACTGTGGCTCAAGGCGCAAATCCCCTCCCCAATC